AGAGAGAGAGAGAGAGAGAGAGAGAGAGAGAGAGAGAGAGAGAGAGAAAGACTCATAATATTGGAAAAACCCACAAGAATGAGAAAAGGAAACAGAGTCAGAGAATGAGAAAGAGGAACAGAGACAGAAAAGGGAGAGCACAAGGAGATGTAGAAGAAATGCATGCAACATTACTGACTCAGAGTATAAGGCACACAGACCAAGAGGAACAGTCCTGAGCCTCAGGCCTTCTCCTCAAGCACTGAGATGAAGAATGTGGGACCAGGCCCCTCCAGCTGCTACTAGGAGCAGCCAGCACTCAGTCACCTGCGAGCCAAGTATAAAGACTCATCACAGACAGCACCTAGAAACTCACAAAGCCACATCTTCTTAAGGGCTTTCCAAAGGCATGCTGGAAACTCACTCTCTACTATCTCTATCCCTGACTTCTTTACCCAGACCACAAGTTCAAATTTTCACTGGAAGAAGCAGAAGAGCATTTCCCAACTCACTCCTGACCAAGCTTCAGGTTCTGTCTCTCTGCTAAGAAGTATTTAGGGACCTGAGGTAGGACACATGGACTTTCTGGAGGTACAGCTTCCTAGAACCCACCATCTTAAATGGACAAGATGAGAGTGACATTGCAGACCCCATACTGACACCACAGGGTTTGGAACAATGCACACCTCTTGTTAATGGATCCATCTGTGAGGAAGATCAGCCGGTCTCTCGCCTGATTTGTATTCTGGGTAATGAGCTGCAGCTCTTCTGTCAGCCTCTCCTCTACCTCCATGACCACCTTCTTGATTAGATCATGTGCAGGGGATGATGTCTGTCTGCGAACCTCTGCAGGTAGAGGAAACTCAATGAACTTGCATAGTGAGAATGTACAGAGTGTAGACAGACCCCCCCCCCTCCCGAGGCCAAAACACAAGGAAATCATGCTTGGAACCTAAGGACACAGTTGTCAAAGAGTTTGGCTCAGGCTTCAGAAGACACCTCAGTGGATCTCTGCTCTCCCATCACTCAATAGAGACCAGGAGATGTAAGCAGCCAGGTGTTTCCTGTGTCTCCCTACACATGCATGTGATGACCAGAGAGATGGCTTGTCCAGGATTATTATCAACTGCACAGTTTACAACTTGGTTTCAGAGCCCTCAGTCCCGTGGTTTTGCCAGTTAGATGGTAAACTCAAAATCCATAGGTCCTTGAGTGCATAGAGTGCTCAGATCTCCTACCTTGTTACTCTAGGTCCAGGACATAGGATTAAAAGGTCATGCAGAAGAAAGTCACGATCAACACACTGATCAATTCCCCCTACTGAAACACCAAACAACCCAGAAAGGACAACAGGATCCTGTCTCTGTCTGGGTGTATCATGTCTGACAGGTGTTTAGATACAGTAGGGAAATGCTTGCTGCCCAGGACCAGTGATAAAGAAAGCTAAGGTTCATATTGTCAGGGAGAGGAGGTCAGAGGTGTTCTGAGAACATAAGATCATGGACAGGAGCACAACTCTTTCCCTGATGCTCTCAGGTAGCCACTGACAGTATAGGAAGCCATGGGAGTGAAGAGCCATAGTGTCCTGCAGTAAATTGTCATATGTTATATTCTCTGTGTCTCCTGATAATATCATTCAGTCCCCATGAAACATTCACAACACCCAGTAAAAGTAAAGGCTTAGAGTGTTGCAGAATAACAGCTTTGGACTTGCCCTCTCCTACCTTTAAAGGTGGAGAAAGTAATGTTCTGAAAGCCTTCATGTTCAAGAATTGTGATAATCGTGGAAATCCTTTTGCTTCCTAGAGGCTCCAGTTCCTCTGCCCCATTGCTAGAAAGGCCAGCTCAAGCCCACCCCTTCCAGGACTCTCAACATCCACTGCCCAGGACTTACGCCACATTCTCCAAGACCACCTCCTTCGTCCTTCATTATTCTCACGTGGAAGGACAGCTTCCTTCCTCCTTTCCCTCCTCTCTGTCACATCCACCCTTTCTCTCTGAAAAAGTCTTCTCAGTCGAGTAAACATGTCTTTACTGTATCCTGTATGTAGACACTGAATGAGTCACTTTGCTGTACTTGCTGTTACTACAACAAGGGTGACATCACAGGGGATGCCAAGGACTCTCTGGGAGACAATAGAATGTCCAAGAAGGAACTGCTGATGTCATGGGGTGCAGCCTTTGGCTCCCTGCTAATGTTCTCCCTGTACTGACAGGAAGCTGATGTGTCCTTTCCTGGAGACCCTCCTGGGACACAGCCATCAAGCACATCCTCGGTACAAAGGCCAGAATTTGCTCAACGCATGATTGGAATCACCAAAGTCATTCCTATGTGTGCAACTGAGTGTTTCCTTTCCAAATCTTGCCCAGATTGTCCTTGCCTCATTCCTACCTCCAGTTGTCCTCATTCTGCAATAGGAACCATTAAAGATTGCTCAGAAATCACACCAGGATGAATGTGGATGGGGAAAGATGTCCTGCCTCATTATTTACACTTGTTTGAAAGCACATCTAGGAAGATCCTGCAAGGCAGGTTTCAATGTGGTTGTGTGATAGGAGAGTACACTCATAGAAGCCATGTGCTTAGCATTCGAAAGTTGCCACCAGATCCCTTAGGACAGAGACATGCATCCATCATGGTGCTGGCAACAGTGTGGAGATTTCTTGACACAGGAAAGTGAAATAATGGAGCTACCAATGAAAAAGTATCTGGGCTGACTGTGAGGTGCTCCTATCTGCACCAAGGACACCAAAGCAGGATTGTAAGACACACCATGTGACTGTGTCTGAAAAAAAGAATATAGTGAACAGAGGTTGAGAAAGGGGTGCAGGTCGAGAATGTAGGACAACACTATAGACATATTTCAGTGTCAGATTAAGGGACTCCATGTAGTTCAGGATCATGAGTCTCCCCACACGCCACACAAACACTTATCTAGGTCAAACAGGAATGGTTTATTGTATGCACCCCCAACTACTCATTAATCATGACCATAGCTGAAAATTGTTAATGAAACCAATGCCCCCAAAATCTTTCTTTGTCAACATATAAAGGTAAAAAACCCACAAGGAGCTCATATGGACATGCAGGAAGTGTCATGTTGCCTTGTAGTTAGCCCTGACTCAGCTCATTATAGATATCAGCGTGCCTATTGATCATTAGTTTGATGGGTCCTATGTAAAGCTGTGTGGAATTTCTTAAGATTAGCAGATGTTATGCAGATCTCTGTACTTAACAGAATATATGGTCAGCATAACTTTTCCAGGAGTCCAAGTTTTTCTCCATATCAATGATTCGCAGGCATATTACAGCAACAATATGAAATAGCTGGCAGGCATGGAACTAAATGTTTACATGTATACTGGTTTTGGGGTATAGATCCCAACATTAAGAAACACAGGTCTCTCTGAATGACTAGTGCTGTCCCCACAGTCCTTGGAGGCCCCTCTTGTAAGCCTAGCTCTTGGAAAATGAAAGCAGGATTATCTGAGCTCAAGGTTAACATGGGATACAGGACACTCTGGTTCAGAAAACAACACTGAGACACAGCCCACATCCAAAGCCTCACCTACCAATCCTTGTCTATGACAAAAACCTTACCTTGGTCTCCCTTCTACCCTTTGGCTGTGGGAAGATTGAAAGGAATTAGCAATGATTATTCAATTCTTTGTTCTCTTGGTCATGGTGTCTGTTCACAACATGGAAACACTAACTAAGACGCTGGGTGTGGCTGCTTGGATACGATTGGCTCCATGAGCCTCACTGTTAAGATATGAATCCTTACTGAAGTAGGTATGCCCTTGTTGGAGAACGTGTGTCACTGTGGGGTAGAAATTGAGACCCTCCTTCTGGGTACAGGTGACAAAGCCTTCTCCTGTTCAAATTCAGAAGAGGATATAA